AGAATGACTGGAACAATTCAGAGCTCCATTAATGGTGTATGTGTTTTCCTCTCCATCACCACAGCAACTCCCACAGCTGTCATTTTATGTCCAATTTTATGTGTATGAGGTGTAACCTTAAAATTTTAATTTGCATTTCTCTTATTATCTGTGACTTGGGACAGTTTTTTCACATGGCCATTGATAACTTAGATTTCTTTCTTTAAGAACTGTGCTCACATTCTTTTATCATTTATCTATTGCGGCATGGCTCTAGTTCTTATACATTTTAATCAGTTCCTTTGCATGGGAGATCTTTGTCAAAGAAACTTGATAAAAATAGTTTTCTCCCTGATTTGTTTCCCTTCTGATTTTAGACACATTAATTTTCTTTGTGCAAAAACTTTTCAATTTTACGTAATCAGAATGGTCCTTTTTATCTTCTGTGATCTTCTCTATCCCTTGTTTAGTCGTAAACTCTTCCCCTATCCACAGAAGTGGTAAGTATTTCCTTCTTTGCCCTTCTAATTTGTTTATAATGTGACCTTTTGCATCTAGGTCATGCATCCTTTTGGAACTTATATTGGTATACTATATGTGATGCTATTCTAAACCCAATTTCTGCCAAACTACTTTCCAGTTTTTCTAGCAGTTCTTATTAGTGAGTCTTTGCCCCAGAAGTTGGGGTCTTTGGATTATGCTACTATGTTCATTTCCCTCCATATGTTGTATACCTTATCTGTCCTACTGATCGATCTATTTTTTAACTATTAGAAAATTAATTTGATAATTGTTGCCCTGTAGTATAGTTCTACTCTCTCTGTAGTATAGTCTCTACTTCTCCTTGAAATCTGATTTTCATTCCAATCACCCTATTGAAACTCCTCTCTCAAGGGTCACTAATGATATTCTACTAGACAAATCCAAAGACTTTTTCTCATTCCTTGATCTTTCTGAGATATGTGATGCTGTCAACCTCCTTATATCTCTTTTATGCTCTTGGTTTCTCTGGCCCTATGCCAATGTGGTCCCCTCACCTCTTTAACTGTGACAATCATTTTTTCTTTCAGGTGAGATGTATTTCTAAGAAAGAGTTCTTAAACTGGGATCTGTAAACTTAAAATTTTTTTTTTGATAACTGCATTTCAATATAATTGGTTTTCTTTGTCAATCAATATAGCTTATTTTATGTAGTAAAAAACATTTTGAGAAGAGGCCCATAGGCTGTACCAGAATGCTAACAGGATCCACGACACAAAATACATTAAAAAGTAGTTTTAGAGGCAGCAAAGAATATTAGGCTTGGGTCAGCATTGCAAACTGTGGTCTGTGAAATCACAAGTCTTTCTGAAGAGTTTTTCAGAGTTTCCTTAAAAATATTTTGAAATAGTGCCTACATTTAGTGTGTCCATTATGACTTTTTAGGCTGAAACTTGTTGCTATAATGAGGATTTGAATGCCAAATGATAAAATGCAGTGCAGAGAGTTCTATTCCCTTAGTACTTATAAAGAGTAGCTCCAGATCAAACATGAAATGTGAGATCCTCTTCACTTTTTGTTGGATCTATGAGAAACTTATTTTATTCACTTCCATTGCTATTTCATAGGGATTCTTTTCGATAATATTTATCCAGCTTGACCAGTAGCAATGCTAAGGGTTTACATATTTCACAATTTGATATATTCTTTGAAAATGCACATCTGTAACCTGATGGAATGTGTAAAATAACGACAAGAGAGAACATGTTAAACAGTCTTGTCATTCCCATCATAAGGAATTTTGGGAAGGAGAGAGGCCACCTGGAGAGGGGAAGATATTGAGGGAACACATCAAGTTTAAGCTCTCTCTGGAAAGAAGGAAAGGGAAAAGAGAAAGAAGGGAGGGAGAAAGGGAAGCAGGAAGGAAAGAGGAAGAAGGAAGGAAGGAGAGAGGGAGGAAGGAAGGATGCATCACTCAGCACTATTTGCAACCCAAGATATGGAGGGTAGTAAGTTGCCACAATATCATTAACAGCAGTCTCTGTATCAAGGCTGTGTGGGAAGATCATCAGATTACTTGGGTTGCAAATAGTGCTGAGTGATGCATCCTTCCTTCCTCCCTCTCTCCTTCCTTCCTTCTTCCTCTTTCCTTCCTGCTTCCCTTTCTCCCTCCCTTCTTTCTCTTTTCCCTTTCCTTCTTTCCAGAGAGAGCTTAAACTTGATGTGTTCCCTCAAGTTGGGGAGAACTTCTCTTAAATCTTTGTCTTTCTGTATTTATATTTACTTTGTTTCTTAAAATGGCAATTGTGATAAAATCTATTCTAACTCTAACAAAGCAGAAGTGATGCATCACCTCCGTGCGAATCCATATTGCAAGGATCTATTCAAAACCTAAAGATTTGTACAAGTTGAGGTCATCATGGACTCTAGTCTAGAGTCCCAGAATTTCCTTGCTGGGAACCTGGGAAAATCCTAGGATACACCAATTTCTAAAGGAATAAATTCTGACAAAGCAAGAACAACAATGAAAACAACAAAAAACCTTGTCCAAACATCCTGGTAACAGACACCATAGAAGGTCTTATGGCACCAGACACACCAGACACCATAGAAGGTCTTATGGCGCCAGACACACCAGACACCATAGAAGGTCTTATGGCACCAGACACACCAGACACCATAGAAGGTCTTATGGCGCCAGACACACCAGACACCATAGAAGGTCTTATGGCGCCAGACACACCAGACACCATAGAAGGTCTTATGGCGCCAGACACACCAGACACCATAGAAGGTCTTATGGCGCCAGACACACCAGACACCATAGAAGGTCTTGTGGTGCCAGACACACCAGACATCATAGAAGATCTCGTGGTGCCAGACACACCAGACATCACAGAAGGTCTTATGGTGCCAGTTATACCAGACATCACAGAAGGTCTTATGACACCAATACACACCAGACATTTCATCTGGTAGATGAAAAGGGGCCTGAACTTGGTGTCACAGAACCTGAGTTCAAATCTTGGCTCTTCTACCTATGGTGTTGAACTCTCTGTGCCTCAATGGCCACATTTATAAAATGAGGGGAGAGGATGAGATGATTGCTAATGTTCCTTTTAGCTCTATGATTGTATAATATGTTTATTAATATGAAATTTACTTATCTCATGGAATAAAATGTTGGCTGTATTACTTAAATCTATGATGCTGTTTGATGGCTACAAGAATCTAAAATAAGATGAGAGAGAGAGAGAGAGAGAGAGAGAGAGAATAAGAAAAAAGGAATGGGAAAGAATGTGAGTGTGGGGCTGGGGAGAAATGGAGGGAGAGAGAGGGACAGACATATAGACAGACAGATTCTATGACTTTTTCTATTTTCTTAGCAGGCAAGAGTCTAGAAAATAATGTTTTCAAAAAGTATTTTTTTTAAAAGAGAAATAATTAGGCATTGCTTTCTCTTTTTGAACACTGAATTAATTACATGTTAACAACAAAGCCATTTCCTTCCAAATAAACATGTGAATTCATGGAATTTCTTTGATAATAATTTTAAATGGTTACTGGTGCCTGTGGTTCTTTCTGCAAAAAAGTGATTAGGGATTAGCTCCATATTAAAAGTACCATTTCAAGTTATATCGGTTGAAAGAGACACCCAAAATGAACAAATACTTTTTACACTCTCCCTCCTAATCTCCATCTCCTGACTTCCTTTAAGTCTCAGCTAAAATACCACCTTCCACAGGAAGCCTTTCCCCTTTAATTCCACTGCCATCTTCTGTTGACTATTTCTGATTTATCCTATATGTAGCGTGTTTCTACATAGTTGTTTGAATGTTTTTCCCCCATTGGTCTGTGACCTCCTTCAGAGCAGGGGCTACCTTTTGCCTTTCTAGTGCTCAAATGTTTATTAACTGAGGGATCAAAGTAGATATTTTGTACGTCAATACACATCACACATTTTAGAGGATCATTCCCAGCATTTCAAATTAAAACTGTCTATCCTAACTGCTCGATCAGGCATTTTGGATTATGTCTATATGGCTGATAAAAGGCAATGTAGCATAGGGGATAAAGGGCTAGTTTTAGAGTCAGAAGAATTGGGTTCAGGTCACTCTTCTGACACATATTAGGTATGAGCTAATCAGATAATCTTAATACCATCGTGGGTGACTCTGTTGGCTATAAAACTGTCTACAGCTATGAAGTGAGTTTTAATAGAGTCCTCCCACCATATGGACGAATTCACAAGTTCAGACCAAAAACGTGTGCAGGAAAAGATGGAAACAGAGTAGGATTGAAGCTGAGATATCTCTATATATAGAAAAATATATACATATACATAGATCTATCTATCTGTCTGCCTGTCTTTCTATCTTCGTATGCATCTATGTATCCATGTATGTATGTATCTATCTATCTGTGTGTCTATCTGCCTAGAGTCACAAAGACAAACATGTATTTTGTCTCTTGCTGCCAAAGTACACACATTTCAAGATCTCCCACAGACGTGTGTGTGTGTGTGTGTGTGTGTGTGTGTGTGCGCGCATATGTGTGCATGTGTATAGCTATTAATCCTTTAGATGTGACCTTTGGAAAGGCTATGGTCACGAAAGAGAAAATGTCAATATCACCATCAATTAATGTGCTTGGGTACTCATCCTGGGATAGGAGTTATAAAGTACATACTTTACCTTCTAATTTTATTACATATTTTAAATTGGAATTGAAATGATGGAACCAAATGTTCTATGAAGTACCTAACCTCTTGTTGGTATTCAATGTAATAACTTCCAGGAACTACTAAAAGTATATAATTATGATAGGAATATGACCTGCTTAAGTATTATTCAGCTAGAAAAAAATACTGAAAATGATACAGTATTTTTTGTAGTCAGTACATTTTACTGGAGATGATGTAAATTACTAACCTAATACAATAGTTTTTTTAAACAATAACAGCTAAAACTCAAAGAATCTAAAATGTCAACTTTATTCAATCTAAATAGCACCATCAACAACAAAAGATTTATTTTGCTGACCTGTTTGGTGAAGATGATCTCTAGCCACTTCAAATAAACGCAAGTGCATATTTGTAACAGGGTTAAAGGAGCCACAGGCAAGGAGAATAACTGGTATCTTGCACTTCATTTTGTTAGAAGCATCAAAATCTTTCTTAGAAACACATCTCACCTAAAGGAAAAAATGATGGTCAATAAACACTGCCGCAATATTTTTTCAAAACAGTTTTTTGTAATAATGGAAAGAGTGGTTATTTATCACTTGTGTGACTGGCAGGGCAAAAATCCAACATGATAGTGTTTAGCTATGGAATATATACTTAACATTCAGATACAATAAAATATGTGAATATTCAGCTATACCAACTAACATTCAACCTAGGTCCAGAGAAGACCCTCTAAATGTATATTTTGACATCAAGAAAGGAATCACAGAACCTGATAGTCTGAAAGAACCTTGGAAGCAATTTTAATATATCCCCTCCCTGATTTGCTGAATTCTTATTACAGCATTCCTGAGAAATGGTCATCCAGACTCAGCTTCAGTGTTACCAATATAATGAAATTCAGTAATCACAATAGGCAGCCTATTTTAAAAAAATTAAGTGGATTTTAGTGAGCTTTTAAGATCAGGTTCATTTCTCATTGTACTCCTTCCCCCAACACATCCAGAGAACCATCCTTTATAATAAATACAAATGAGGAAGAAAAAGAAGTTCAGCAAAACTAACTAATGCATTGGAAAAAAAATCTAACATTGCATGCAAAAATTCACTCCTCTGCAAAGGATTTTGGGAGGTATAGTCTTGCATCTCTTATCTGAGGACAAGCTTGGTCATTAGAATTTTGCAGCATTCAGTTTTGATTTTGTTGTTGTGACTGTTGTGGTTGTTCCATTCACATTATTTAGCTATTGTGCATCTTGTTTACCTGGTTCTGTTTACTTCATTTGCATCACTTCATGTAAGTCTTTCCATGCTTCCTATTCATCACATCCAGAATTTCTTACAGAGTAGCAATATTCTATTTATTGGAGGCACAGCTCTCATGCTAGCACTCTCTTACTTCCCATTCCATTTTGGATGAAATAAGAAAGTTGTAAATCACTGGACACTTAACACAGGAGGAGGCTCTAACATAGCAAGGACATAGAATAAGGATACAATTAGCTTCTCTGGATGCAGGTTCTCTCATCTCCATATGGAAATGTGTCTGGTCATCAGGTCATCAGGGGTGTGGCAACTTGTGTGGTCTTAGGTACTCACGGAGTCTGAGAGGCTCAGACTCCACATGGCTGGGACTTTTATTTGCCTAGATGATGAGGAAGTCACATCAGAGAAGTTGAGACTGATCAAGACCCAGAGGTAGCTTTATCTTTTTTTTAGGGAATGCTTCTATATTTGGTGTATGGAAGGAAAGAAGCTGTATCAGGGAGACCACTGATATTCAATATCCAGGTACAGTAATTTATTTAACTATACCCCAATTGAGGGACTCCTACTTTGTTTCAGTTCTTTGCTATCATAAAATACCATGGGGGTGGTGGTAGAGAGAAGCGGTGGGATAACAGTGTTTATTAAGCACCTACTATGTGCCAGGAACTGTTACAAAAAAATCTTTACAAATATTATTTCAATATTCTACAACAACCCTGTAAGAGAGGTTCTATTATTATTATTATTGTTCCAATTTTACAGTTGAGGAAATTGAGGCAGAGAATATGGGAGAGGATCTAAAACAGAGTCCTGGGGGATACATGATATGGATGAAGATCCAGCAAAGGAAACTGAGAGGTCAGACAGGAAACCCAAGAGGGAAGCAGAGAGAAATCCCAGAGGGAAGAGGGTATCTTGAAGAAAGTGGTAAACAGTGTCAAATGCTGCAGAGAGCTCAAGAAGGATGAAAACTGAGAAAAGGTCAATGGGTGTGGCAATGAAGCAATCAGCCATGTGTAAAATAAAGTCAGGGGAAAGTGAAATGAGGAAAGGAGATTTTTTTTGGAGGGGTAAAGTATGAGGTAAGGTTCTCAACTGATAGTGAAAATAGGGGTGCTAAAAGTGAGAAGAAAAGGTTTGGAATACCTACTGTAGTGAGTGGAATAGAGAATGGATTAGGGATGATTAGAAAGATTATCTTCCTGCAGTGAAGGTCCAGTTGAGATTAGATAACTAATTTGTGGTGGACCTAGTCTACCACATGATTTTATGTTTCAAGGCATGGTTTCATGACTTTTTCTAGCATGAAAGTAGGAATAAAAAAGCATGATTAGCAATAGGAAAAAGGAGCAGAGGATTTGAGAGTAAAGGATAGGGTACAGGTGAACTACCAAGTAGTCAACATTAGGAAAGGAGAAGAATGTAGCCAGAACAGGGGTGACAGCTTGAGAAAGTACTGAGATGTAGAGGAATTGGAGGTCATGGGGAAGATTCAATATAGATTTCAGAATAGTAAATGATTATAATCAGATAAAGGAATTTTGGAGTTCTTGGACACTAAAGGAGAATACTTCTGGATGATGGAAAAATCAAACATCTTAGTGTGTAGCTCAGGTAAAGGGGAAAGGTAGCTCTCAAGAGGTGAGTAGTTTGAGGAACTCAGAAATTATTGAGGAAACACCAACATGCACACTGAAATACCCTAGCAAGAAGGCGGTGGGATAGAGAGGAATATTGTGAGAAAAGTACTGAACTTACTGAGAAAGGAGGGAGACTGTCTCGAGGGTCAGTAGATAATCTCCATCAGAATCTGAATTGGGTGATAATTTTGCTAAGTAATGGTGGTAGATGAAGAGTTTGGAAGTGACAATAAGGAGCAAGATTTATTCTTACCCTTCACCGGGAGCAATGGTGGTATGAGAGAAGATGTAGCCAGTCCTTTACAGGATGGCCAAGGATGCAGCATTATCTAGGTGAGGAGCTAGGTGTCAGTGAATGTCAAAAGACAGAAGGAGCAAGAGGAGATGGTCAAAACGAAGGAAGTTTATTAATTACCAAGTAGGAGTTCAAGAAGGCACAGTGTAAAGGGCAGGCAGATCTGGAGGGGGGCTGGAGTAGGATTGAAGTTGACATCTGTCATCTAATTAGTTATCCCTCCTGGCTTTATATCATCTGTAAACTTGACAAGGATGTTACCTATATCTTCATATAAGCTATTGATAAGAATGTTAAAAGGAACTAAGCCCTGCAACATACCACCAGTCCCCTCTTCATATTGATATACTTTTGCTAGTTAATACTTTAGGTCCTGCCATTCAACCAGTTTTGAATCTACTTCTGCTTTAACTCAGACTATATATTAAGATTTACAAAGGAATATTGAGAGAGGCTTTGTCAAGTGCCTGATGAAATTTAGATACACTATAGTGTTCCTCTCATCAACCAAACTAGTAATGGTGGCAAAAAAAAAAGAAAAATTAAGTTAGTCTGGAAAAACTTGTTCTTAGTGAGCTTGGGCTTACATCTAGTGATTATTGTTTTGCTTTCTAAGTGCTTACAGATCAACCATTTAATAAGGTACTCGAAATTTTTCTGAGGATCAACATCAAACTTGACAGTTGAAGATCGGCAGAATCCACTTTCTTCCCTTTCTGAAAATCCACACATTTGTCAATTTCCAGTCGCTAGCAACTCTTGCAATTGCCAAGATTCTGCAAAGATCATTCACTGTGGCTTGGCAAACACACCTGCCAGTTCTTTAGTAATCTTGGTATCAGAACTCTAGCTTTCCAAAATTGTTCCCTTTAACACCCCAGGTTAGAGAGGGCTCCTCTGGAGCACAGTCAAATATATAGTCAACAACCTGTAACAGAACAACTTGTTTCTCCAGTGACCTGGCTTCATTAAGTCTAACTGACTTCTGTGTAACTTTGATCCTAGTTTCTTAGATTCCATTTTCCTAGTTAGTTTGATTTCCTATTGCTGTCCTGTTCCTACTGCACCTTACACTTTGGTTCCCTGCCTAGCGCCCTCTTTCACTTCATCTGATCTCTTGGTATCTTTGGTTCTTACTAGCTGCTGACAGGGTCTCAAATGCAGTCCTGACCTCACTGGCTGGTAGCCTTTACTTGCTTTCCTCCCTTGTAATTCTTTGACAAGACAAGGTTCTGACACCAAAAATGTAATCTGTCCAAGCTGACAGATCTAAGCTAATTTCAAGTAGCTAGTACACTTTTATCATCTTTTCACCAATCATGGGTTTCAATTTTTCTCGCAGCCTTGTCTTTTTCTACAAACAGGAATGGAATAGCTCTACTTTCTGTTATCTGTCAATATGGCACAATATAACTTACACATCTTCTTGTATAAAGCAGTTAGGTCTAGGCCAGAGGTTGAGTGAATCTAGAGTCCTCAGTGGTTCCCATGAAAACTCTCACTACTGACTGCCACAGGAAACTGACTGTCAAACCTATTACTGCTGCTGGGTCCTAGACATCTGAGGGCCACCAGAGCAGATATCTTCAGCTAGTTTGATCTTCTTCAATTATCTCATGTTATATTGTAAAAAATTTTCCTAGGTAGGAGTGAACAAAAATTAGCATAAGTCTGTTAGTTCATGAGATACAACAGACATTATATTAGAGGTAATAAGGAATCACTGGAGTTTATCAAGCAGGGGAGTAACATGGTCAGGCATGCATCATAAGGAAATTTCTTTGGCAGTTCTATGAAGCATGGATTGAAATGGGTGAAGACTTGAAGCAGGAAGAACAGGCAAGAGATGAAAAGGGCCTGAACTAGGAGATTGCCTCAACCACCAAACACAGGGAAGCTTACTATAGGATATTAGAGAGTCCCTCATTATTTCTGTTATCTTCCTGCAACTTCAGAGAAGAACTACCAGATACCTAAGCACCAGTAGTATGTTAAATTCAAAAGAGTAAAATTGGCAGTCTTCCCTCTGGATTTCAACAAATGAAGAGTTTAAAGAGAGAAAAGAATACTCAATAGGCAGGTCAAGCTGCCCTTTCCTTTCACCACTTTATTGTTCTATTTCCAGCTCCAAAGAACTCTGAACTCTGAAAGTTGATGAAGCCTTTGCATTCTCACCTTTCTTGTTATGTTTGCCCCAGTCCCTGTAATAATTTGTGTTTCCCAAGAATTATGTAAAAGGTTCCTAAGCAGTAAGCCATTCAACTCTCACTCTATCAATCAACATATGTATATGTATGTATGT